TGGTTTTTTTTACATTTTCAATGTCTTTTCTCCACGGATTGACTTTGCTCGACTTCGTTTAGTTCACACTTGTGTAATTCCTCTCCAATGTCTTCGTCCATTTCATTTTTAAATCTTTTTTCGTAGGTGTATTGACATCGGTTATTTCAGAAACATTCGCTTTAGCCTCTTGGACGATATTTACAACTTCATGCAATGCATGTTTTAAAAATGTAAAAGTGGAAACAAATTAAAAGTCCGAAAAATTATTCTAAAGTTTTAAGAAATGTGTTAAAAAACTTCGCAAATACAAAATCGTTAATTCAAAATTATATTCAAATTTGTATCCTCATCGGTCCAACTGTTCATAATTAATTATTCCAAATAATTAAAATTAAAATTAATTTAATTAGTTTATTAAAATAATATATATTTTTTTAAAAACCTTATCTTTATCGTTTTTGAAAATGTTTTTACATATATGTGATATTGTGTAGCGGACAAAAAAAGCCATAAAGATAGAATTACTCAAATGCTAATTACACGCTCCTTCAAGGTCAAGAAACTTGATTTATTCATTATTGTTAGCTAACTTATATTATACATACTAACATGCTTTTCTTCATTCAATGGAACTATTATATTTGTATTCTGCATTGCAACAATCGCCTGGCCATGACTTGAAGTTCCCGGAACATCTGCTTCTTCGAAAATAGTCGGTACCGGTACACCTCAGCTTCTTGGTACCATCCACTCGTACCTTCTCCCACATTTCAGGGGCAAAGTGATTCTGAAATATAGATTAAATAATTATTATACAAAATTAAAAATAGTATACTCATTGATTGCACTTGATACGCTGTTCATATACGTATACAATACGATTCACTTGTATAAATTTATTCATATAATATAAAAGTTTACCTCGCATAAAGTTAAATGCTTTGTAGGTATCCAATTTACTCTGTTCATATTTTTAATCCATGTGCTTCTCCGCGGTTCGTCTTTTGGAAAGCAGCACATTTTCAGACCTGCCGAAGATCCTGCACCACAGGCTACACACCGTCCCATGATATTTTACTGTTAAATTTTTTTAACAGTGTTTTAAAAGTACTTTATTATGAAAATATTAACAACATTTTGAAAGGAAATTATATATTAACATTTTATACTTTATTGATTAAATTATTATTTTAATCGCGGCATGCAGCAACTATATATTTCAGGTTAAAAAGAGTGTTAGGATAAGTTAAAAAAGTTGCAAACTTACTAGGTACTTACGAAAAAAGGTGCTTCTTTGATTCAAATTTATATACATACACATATATATATATATATATATATATATATATATGTTTATGACAGCACAAGAGAAATCAAAAGCTTTTCCTACCTACCGTTTTGACATTTCGCGCGGAGTTTACGGATTCGTACTCATACTAAAATCAATTGGTTCATGTATTCACTTATTC